TCACCACTAAGCCACGAGAACACCATATCAATTTAGGAAGGTGTGTTAAGATCACGTGGTTTCTCAGGGCCATGAATAATTCTCTCATTACCTGCTGAATATCCTCCAGTCGGGCTTTCGCCTTCACCAAGTGTCCTGTGGAGCTCACCAATGACCAACAACACACAACTACATGCAATGGCCAATTCTGTCTTCATCTCTTGACCTAAGAGTAGCCCTGACCCCAGTTGACGACACCCTTTCTGGAAACACTGTGTTCACTTACCTTCAGGACTCCAGCCTCTCTTCCTTTTACTACTATACAGACGAGAGGCTTGTTCTCAGCAACCTGGCTGCTCAGTGCCCACACTTCTCAAAGCTGGGATGCCAGCCCAAATGTCCAACCACAAACGAATGGATTGAGAAGTTGTGGTACATTGACACAATGGAATACTATGTAGCACTCAGAAACAGTAACTTTGTAAATTGTTACCTAACTTGGGAGGGACTGGAGAGCATTATGCTGAGTGAACTCAGTTCCACAAGAATAAATATAAAATTGTTATTGTAAAATGAGTATAAGGATCCAGGAGGGGTGGGAGAGGCTGGAAGCAGAGGGATGTGGATGTGCAAGGGGGGGAGGGGGGTTAATCATTGGGTTGTACAATTTGATGGGTAAGAGGGTGAGGGGAATTGAAGGAATTTGTTCGAATTTGTATTTGAGCTTAGTAAATAAACTAGCAGGAAAATAAAAAAAAAAAAATAATAATGTTTTAAAAAAGCCAAGGAAGCAAAAAAGGCTAAACAAGCATCTAAAAAGACTGCAATGGCTGCTACTAAGGCTCCCACAAAAGCAGCGCCTAAACAAAAAATTGCGAAGCCTGTGAAAGTTTCTGCTCCCCGAGTTGGTGGAAAACGCTAAGGAGGCTCATAAGGCTGGAGTTGTAACTCTAAAAAAAAAAAAAGAAGTAGACCATGCAACCACTGTGGAAGGTGGTGCAGTGCCTTCTCAAAAAAATTGCAAATAGAGATACCATTTGACCCAGCAATTCCACTACTGGGAATATACCCCCAAGAGACCATAACTGCCACCCAAACAGATATATGCACACCCATGTTTATCATGGCTTTGTTCACAATAGCAGAGTTAGAAACAAACCTAAGTGCCCATCAACAAACGAATGTATAAAGAGGCTCTGGTATAGTCACACAATGGAATACTATGCTGCACTGAAAAACAAGGAACTCATATAATATTATTCAAAATGAGTGACCCTGGAGGACATTATGCTGAGTGAAATGTCAGTCACACAGGGACAAATACTGCATAGTGTCACTGTTGTAAAACAGGACTGACATCAGGGTTGGGGGAAGACTGAGAAAGATGGGATAAATAATGTAGACTGCATTGAAACAGATGAGGGAGAAAACGGTTTAAAAGGGATATGTGATCAGGTATTATTGTCATGACAGGAGTCCAGAACAAAGGCTGCACAGTGGAGTGGACCTGGGGGGAGGGATTGTAAATCAATGAAATAATTTTTCTTTACTTTTCTAAGAGAAACGTGTCCTGGGTGGGGGAGAGGGGCAGGGAGAAAAGTGCAACAAGGAATGAATGGAAATCCAAAGTCTCCGTAAATTTTCATTAAAATTAATAAAAATTAGAATATTTTTTTTTAAAAAGTAGACCACCCAGGCCTTCTTTCCTAGTTTGTTGTAGTCTGAAAGCTCTATTTAAACCTCTCAGGATCAACAATCAACAATCATGATAGATGGAGAAAGGACTAAAGCTGTAAATTATTTCATCTTGCTTGGATCAATAATCAATGCTCTTGGTACCACCAGCCAGGAAATCAGGAAATGTGTTACCTTGGACAAATCTGGTGTCAGAGACCTCTCCAAAATACTGAAGAGCCAATGATGTCAGTTTGAAGATTAAGGTGTGCCTGATTCTGGCTATAGTTTTCTCAGTCACCAGCTTCACATCAAACAGTTAGAAAATGAGTAAGGATGACAGAAGAAGAATTGATACCTTTGAGCTTTGGAGCTGGAGAAGAGCACTGAATATTTCATGTACTGTCAAAAGAACAAGTAAGTCTTGGAGAAAGTGCATCAGGGTGTTCCTTGGAAGCAAAGACGGCAAAGCTTTATCTCCCATACTCTGGACATGTAAGCTAGATAAGATGCTTCCTTGGAAAGAGACATCATCATACTTGGAAAGATGGAGCATCAGTAAAGGAGAGCAAGAGTTTAAATGTTGGGTTTTCTATCATCTATTACTTTAGCCCTTTTTGGTCTCCAGCTACCTTAAACACATGATCTTGCAAATCATCAATAGCTGTGGAACTAGGATGAGAGAGAGAGAGAGTGGGCACTTCCTACACTGTGCAGCAAGACTTAAGGGAAACTGCAGCAAGACCTTGGTGAGAGCAAGACTAGAGAGAAACTTGGTGAGAGCAAGGCCAGAACATGACCCTGGTGAGAGTGAGATCCCACGACAACAATGGAAAGGCTGTGGCATTGCTATGGAGAGACTCTGAGGCTTCTTGCATTTGTGTTGGCAACAGTTAAAAGTTTTGCTTGCCACATGATTGAAAGAGAAACTGACTTATAATTGCTCCAAGGCAGACCTTTCTGGATGATTGAGGAAAACAAAAGGAATTGTATTTTGCTACTAATCTGACTTGGGACTGCTGGACTATACCTGGACTTGCATTGTGAGATATTCTTTGCATCTTCTACTCCCCAACCTATTTTTTTTTAAATAAATTCCACTCTTGGTACCACAACTGTGGGTAAATCCCATGAGTCAACAACAAATATCAAATCCATTGATTGGTGAAAATATCTTCGGGTTCAAGGTGGGCATGGGACACATCTGACCTAGCAGCTATTTGCTGCTATGGATTGTATTGATGGAGAAAGTTTCCCTTTATGAAACCGGTGGAAGTCAGACTCGGTCACAGCCACCCCTATGTTGCATCTGCTCCTTTCACAGATCTCCAACACGATTAATTGGCACAGTGACTGCAGCAGTGGGCTCAAGTGTGTCAGAGAGAATAAGGATGGCACGGGAAAGGGCAGAATTCAGGTCTGTTGTTCATAGGATCACTATGAGTCATACTCAACAGCTGTAACAACAACAACAATAACAACGAGAAGCATCATTAACAATTTGAAGCTTCTTCTCACAGACAAATTTGGGCTGTGCATGAGATGCACGGTTAGGTATTGAATTCACATTTCCACAAAGAAGGTGAGAATTCTACTCCTGAACTCTCACTTCCTCAGTAGTGTCTGCTGTTGCTAGATGCCATCAAGTTGACTATGACTCATAGCAACCTGGTGAACAACAGATCCAAACCTTACCCTATCCTGTATCATCCTCACAATCTCTGCCAAGCTTTAGCCAATTGTTTTTTTAATTGAGATTGTAATGAAAGTTTATAGAGAACTTGGATTTCCATTCATTCATTGTTGTACATTTTCCTCCTTGCTCCCCACCCCCAGTTTTAGCCAATTGTTACAGTCACTTTGTTAATCCATCTCATTGAGATTCTTCCTCTGACCACCCACTTTTCTTAGCCTGATAGCGTTTCCCAAGGACTGCCCTCTTCTGACTACATGCCCAAGTATGTGAGAGGGAGTTTCACCATCCTTGCCTCTAAGGAACACAGTGGTTGCACTTCCTCCAACACAGATTTGTTTGTTCTTTTGACCGTCCAGTGATGCACATTGCCCTGGAATTGTGTGTGATCTTTCACACTCTTCTTTGCCACAATTAGGCATGCTCTTTCACTTTACTCTTTCTCTCAGTCTACAGGTACGTCCTTTTTCCAACACACACACACACACACACACACACACACACACACACGCCCGTACATAGTCACTCCACACTCTATCCTGACTTTTACCTCTGGCCACCTGGCAAATGCTGTTCATCATTAGTCACCTTGGTTGACATTTTGCATCCTCTGTGAAGCCTTTCCTGACCTCTGCTCCTAACTCCATCTCCTTGGGCTGCCAGCTTTCCTTCCCCTTTCTGTGTCCTTTGATTACAGGACAGTTTAGCATGATTGAGATAGTGAGACATTCCTTTTGGCTTCTACTGTTGTTATGTGTTGTCAAGTCATTTGCGACTCATAGCGACCCTATGTATAGGAGCTCTAAACCCTGCTCTATCCTGTGCCAACCTCATTGTCTCCGAAACACCTACTCCCACTACCCCAATCACTGACTTGATCCATCTCATCTAGGGTCTTCCTCTCCGCTGCCTCTCCATTCTCCCAAACATGATGTCCCTCTTCGAGGACTAGTCCCTCCTTGCAACATGCCCAAAGTATGTCAGATGAAGCTTCAGAATCCTTGCCTCCAAGGAGCAGCCTGGCTTCACCATCTCCAGGACAAACCTGTTTGTTCTCCTAGCAGTCCATGGTATATTCAACACTCTTCTCTAGCACCACAACTCAAAGGCATCAATTATCTTTCTATCATCCCTAATCACTGTCCAGCTCTCCGATGCATAGCACACAATTGTGAACACTATAGCTCAGATCAGGCGCACCTTAGTCTCCAGTCTGACGTCGTTGCTCTTTAGTACTCTGGAGAGGTCCCTCACAGCTGACTTTCCCAATGCAATTCGTCTCTTGATTTCCTGGCTGCTGCTACCAAGAGTGTTGGCTTCTACTTGCGATAGAATATAAGAAATGAGAGCTAAACCAAAAAGAAAAAAAGCTGTAAGTTAGGTTTGCTAATTTATGTTTTGGGATGCTGGGATATAATACTAGAAATGTGTCTTGGATAAGTCTTTATTGCTCTCCTTATAGTGATGTTTAGATAATTCTTTGAATGGCACAGAGGATCTGTCCTTGACTACTGACCAGTGGATGGCAGTACCCACCCACCCAGTGATGCTGTGGAAGAAAGCCCTGACAACCTACTTCCATAGAGGTCACAACAAAGAAACTCCCATGGGGAAAATCTACTCTGTAATATGTGGGGTAACCACTTGTCAGAATCAACTCAACAGCAATGATTTAAACACCAAAATAAACATTCCCAGAATGACTCTTCCTTCAACCAACTCTAGGGCCTCCTCCTGGAAGTCATCCCTCAGCTTCTTAATTTGACTCTCCGTGAGTATTTTACCTGACTCCTCTCCTGGTGCTGGTCTTGATGCACCTCATTGTACATGCCTCCTCTCTTCCATCAAATTGTGTGTTCTTTGGGAGCAGGGACCAACGTCTGAATATCATTCACCATCAATAACGAGGCTTCACAAGCGTAGGGCCCTGTCTTCAGTCTCCACGGAGGTCTTCCTTAAAGTATATATCCCTTTGGCCTATTATCTTACACAGAGTAGGATTTCAATAACTGTTGAATGACTCCTCTTTTTAAAACTGAAAGACACGGGGAGCTCTGGTGGCCTAGTGGCAAGGAGCTGCAACTACAATCCCAGAGGCGCACGGTTCGAATCCACCAGATGCTCTTCCAGGGAAGGAAGGACAATCTCCTCCTGTACCAGTCAGATCTGATTTGACAGTACACTCACACAAAAATAATAAAATAAAATTAAAAAACAAAACAAAACTGAAAGACACGTTCAGAGAAGCTCAGTACCTTTGCTCAAGGTCATGGTTAATGAGGTCTGAACCCACCTTAATTCTACAGTTACTTATTCTGTTACTTATATTCAGGTTTCAGAACTTAAAATTCCTCCTCTTGCCAGTGTCTTGGATCTAATTATAAATAAGAGATAGGCTCATAAAGAGGGCCAACTGTAGTCACTCAAGACAAAGATATAGCTAGCCAAGAACGGCTAAGGACATGGGATGTATGAATCAGGCCATGCTTTATGGTCATGTGTAGGAACCCAATAGCACTTGACCAAACATTTTGAGGAGACTCTAGAGCAGAATATGTGGAAAAGCAAGAGATTCGGGGATCCTACCTGGGTGAGCTATTAACCCCATATTGGAGACTGAACAGACTGAGAGAGAACTGGAACTCATCTGTCTATGAGCTGTATGGCTCCATTAAGAGAGATAGACAGGTAGTTGGAGCTTCAAAGGTAAGTCGGGGGAGGCTGACAAGTAGCTGAAGTGAGGGTTCATGCAGGGCATCCAGAGTGCAAGGCCTCACCATGGATCCCCTCTCTACCTGTGCAGGTTTGTGTGTGCCCAGCTGCCCAACCCTGTGCTGGAGAGCATCAGCGTCATCGACACGCCGGGGATCCTCTCTGGGGAGAAGCAGAGGATCAGCCGAGGTAAGCAGTGACCTGGGTCATGCTCGGCTTGACCTCTGTGGTATGTTCTGGTACCTTCACCCTCTAATGCAGTAGGAAGGAAGCATCCATGGCATCTTCCCTTTGAAGAGCCAGCATTGCCTCATGTGCTATGAAGGGCAAAGTTCTAGGACAATAGTACACGAGGGGTAGCTCATGAATTTAGCCTCCTTGTGCCTCAGGAGACAGAAGCTGGCCTGAGTTTCCTTATCTGTAAAATGGAGGCATTAATATCTTCTTTCCTCACCTCACTAGTTTTATTTATGGTCCAAGAGCTGCTTACCATGAGCCAAATTCTGGTTTGCTGGTTAATCCCCTGCTGTCTTTGCCCTGAGAGATGAGTACAGAGAACTCTGGTATATGTACAAGTGTCATGCAGACACTTACCCAACATACCCAAAGTATATGAGAGGAAGCTTTGTCATCTCAGCCTCTAAGAAGCACTCTGGCTGCACTTTCTCCAAGACCTATCTTTCTCTCTCTCTCTCTGTCTCTCTCTCTCTCTCACACACATACACACACACACACACACACTCTAACCCACCCACCCATACACACCCATACAACCTGCCCACACGTTATTGTTTAATACCACTGAGTCAGAACTGACACTCCAGTGGGTTTTCAGAAGCAGTAAATCACATGAGAGGAGACTGCCTATCTTTCTCCTGCGTGGAAGCTGGTGGATTAAAGCTGCATACCTTTGAGTTGGCAACACAGTTCCTTACTATCAGGCCTCTACTCTGTATCAATAAATTTGGCCAACTGACCAGAAGAAATCCGTATTTGTTCCCATTCCCAAGAAAGGTGATCCAACAGTATGTAGAAATTATCGAACAGTATCCAACAAAATATTGTTGAAGATCATCCAAAAATGGTTAGAACAATATATTGACAGCAAAGTTCCAGAGGTACAAGCTGGGTTTAGAAGATGTTTTGGTACCAGGGATATTATATGGATCTTGGATAAAAGCACAGTATATCAGAAGAGTGTCTAGTTGTGTTTTATTGATTATGCAAAGGCATTTGACTATGTGGATTATAACAAACTTGGCTAACCTTGAGAAAAGTGGGCATTTCAGACAATTGGAAGCAGTCCTCAGAATAAAGCAAGGAAACACTGTCCAAAATCAGGAAAGTAGTGCATTAGGGATACATCCTGTCTCCATACTTTTTTAATCTATGTTGATCTATGAAGATCATTCAGGGGCTGGGCTCTATGAGGAGAAATGTGGCATCAGGATTGGAGGAAGACTCATCAGCAACTTCCATTACACAGATGACACAACCTTACTTGTAGAAGCTGAAGAGGACCTGAAGCACTTACTGCAGAAGGTCAAGGATTGTAGTCTTCAATATAGATTGAAGCTCAACATCAAGAAAACAAAGATTCTCACCATTGAACCAATTAGCAGCACTATGATAGAAGGAGAAGAGATTGAGGTTATTAACAATTACATTTTTTGGCATCAGCAGTCAGGAATTAAAAGATGAATTGTATTGGGAAAGTCTGCTGTTAAGGACATCTCTAGAGTACTGAGAAGCAATGATGTCAGTCTAGAGACTAAAGTGTGCCTGATCCAGGCTGTGGTCTTTGCAATTACTTGCTATGCATCAGAGAGCTGGGCAATGAATAAGGATAACAGACAAAGAATCAATGCCTTTGAGTTGTGGTGCTGGCAGAGGGTCTTGAAGATACCCAGGATCACCAAGAAAACGAGTAAGTCTCTCTTGGACAGAGTGAAACCAAGTTTCTCCTTAGAGGCTTGGATTTTGAAGCTCCGTCTCACACACTTTGGGCACATGGCTGTAGCCAGGAGGGAAGGACAGCATACTTGGAAGGGTAGAGGGACAGTGCAGGAGAAGAAGACATCAGATAAGATAGATTGATACAGTACCTGGGGTAATGGTGGTAGATTTGTCGAAGTCAGTGAAACAGGCTCAGGACAAGGCAGGCTTCAGAGTTGTTGTACATATGAGTATGGTCACTGTGAGTCACAGGTGACTCGACAGCACATCACAACCTGTTGTCCAAACAAAGCAAGAAAACAATGCATAATTTACAATCAGGAAAGATGTTCATCAGGGCTGTATCTTCTCTCCATACCTAGTCAATCTATATGCTGAGCAGATCATTCAAGAAACTGGATTTATGTAGATTGTGGCAGGAGGATTGAAAGAAGTCTCATAAACAACCTGTGTTATTCAGATGACACAACCTTGCTAGGCTGAAAGTAAGGACCTGAAGACCATGCTGCAGAGGATCAAGGACTGCAGCCTATTCAATTCAGATTACATCTGAATATCAAGAAAATAAAAATCTTCACCATTGGACCAATAGGCAACAATATGATAGAGAAAAGATTGAAACTGTGAACAGTTTTCATCTTACTTGGATCCATAGTTAATACCCTTGGTACCAGCAGTCAGGAGATAATGGGAGACATCTAGCATTGGGCAAGTTGGTTGTTAGGAGATGAATGCATTTGAATTGTGGTGTTGGAGAAGAATACTGAATATCCTGTGGACTGTCAAAAGAACAAGTAGATATATGTTGGATAAAGGGCAACCGGAATGTTCCTTGGAGACAAAGTTGATTAAACTTCATCTCACATATTTTAGACATTTTGTTAAGAGATACTATTCCTTGAAAAAGGACATCATGCTTGGAAAGGTGGAAGGTCAGTGAAGGAGAGGAAGATTGTCAGTGAGATTAATTGATGCAGGTGTCTGTAGCAATGGACTCAAATGTGTCAGGAATGATAAGGACAGTGCAGGACAGGACAGAATAAAGTTCAGATCTATTGTTCAGCACATCACTATTAGTCACACTCAACTCAATGGCACTTGAGAATAACAAGCTGCCAGAGTTCCTACCCACACTTATATACCGCCACATATGTACACATTTACACAAACTGCCAACTACTCTGTAGATAGGTGTTTGCATGCTTACTTGTTTATTGTTTGCTCTTGTTGGTACAGCACTTGTCTGTCTGTTTGCTGTACAGGTATAATGTGTGGATTGCTGTGATGCTGGAAACTGTGCCACTGTTATACCAAATGCCAGAGAGGTCACCCATGGTGGACAGGTTGCAGCAGAATAAGACTGTCTAGGAAGCAGTATTGGCCACCCGCTTCTGAAACATATCATGCCTTTGAAACTCTATGAGCAACAGGGAGAGGCAGGTAGCTATAGTATTAGAGGTAAAGCTCAGATGGGAAGTCACTCAAATATAAGGAGAAACAGCTGCAAACAAACATTAATAAATGGAATGTGCAATGTCAAAAACTATGAATGTCAAGAATCTAGAAGTTGTCAAAAATTAAATGGAATGAACACATGAAGATTGACATTCTAGGTATTAGTGAATGAAAATGGACTGGCATGGACCACTTTGAATCAAACAATCATATGATCTACTATGCTTGGAATGAAAAAGAATGGAGTGGGATTCATAATGAAAAGGACAATTTCAAGGTCTGTCCTAAAGTACAATGTTGTGAGTGATAGGGTTTATATCCATAAACATACAAGGCAGACCTGTTAACATTACTGTTATCCAAATATATCCACCAACAACCAAAGTGGAGGAAATTGAGGATTTCTGCCAACTTTTACAGTCAGAAATTGATCAAACATGCAATCAAGATGCATTAATAATTATCAGCAACTGGAATGCAAAAGTTGGAAAGAATGAGCAAGGAATAGTAGTTGTGTAATACAGACTTAGTGACAGAAATGAGGCAAGAGAGTCAATAAATTTTGTACATTCAATGATTTAGAGATAGCAAATACTTTTTTAAAGAAACATGAATGGTGACTTTACTCATAGACTTCACCTGAAAGGCAACACAAGAATCAGATTGACCATACTCGTGGAAAGAATTGTTGGAGAAACTCATTACCAGGAGTCAGAACCAGATTGCATGCTGATTGGAACAGACCATCAGTTCTGCAAGAAGCAAATATGTCTGTTCCACCTGAATTAAAAAATAATATTAAGAACAGGTTTGAAGCATTGATCACCGATGATAGGAATACTACAAGAGCTGTGGAATGAAATAAAAGATATCATCGATAAAGAGAGCACAACGTCATTACAAAGACAGGAGAAAGAAAAAGCCAAAATGAATGTCAGGAGAAACTATGAAAATTGCATTAGACCATCAAGAAGTCAACAGGAGAAAGAAAAAGCCAAAATGAATGTCAGAAGAAACTATGAAAATTGCATTAGAGCGTCAAGAAGCCAAAACAAAGGGAAGAGGTACTGAAGTAAAATAGCTGAGCAGAAGATTTCAAAGAACAGCTTGAGAAGACAAAGCAACTATTATAACAAAATGTACAAAGAGCTGGAGTCAGAGAATAAAAAGGGAAGAACTTGCTTAGCAATTCTCAAGCGGAAAGAACTGAAAAACAAATTCAGGCCTCAGGTTGCAATGTTGAAATACACCCTGGACAAAATCTTGAATGATCTAGGAAGAATTAGAAGAAAATAAAAGGAATACACAGAGTCACTGTACCAAAGAGAACTGGTTGGCACTGAAACATTCCAGGAAGCACCATATAAATAAGAGTCCGTGGTAACAAAGGGAAAAGGTCAAGCTGCTTTGAAGACTCTGTCAAAAAAGAAGGAATAGATGGGATACAGATTGGCATTTTTCAAGTAAGAGTTGTGAACCTGGACATGCTCCAGTTTATTCCAGGAAATTTGGACACAGCTGACTGGTCAACTGGAAGAGATCCATATTTGTTCTCATTCCCAAGAAAGGTCATCTAATGGAATATGGGAATTATTGAACAATATCATTAATATCACATGGAAGCAAAATATTGTTGAAGCTCATCCAAAAATGACTGAAACAGTAAATCAATAGGAAAATGCCAGAAATTCAAGCTGGATTTAGAAGAGGCCATGTCACCAGGGAAGTCATTGCTGATGTGTTGGATGGATCCTGGCTGAAAGAAGACAGTACCAAAA